TAAAGTAAAATACATTGGCCGCCTACAACCATGCATTCAATCTCTACATGTAGGTCTATGTATTTTGCCACCGGCATGAGGTGTTATCATCATTCCCATGGTTTTTAAAACCAACCCAGTGACCGAACAAGTCAGGGGTCCAGTTATTGGGTTGAACGGTCTAGTCGAACGGTTGGACTGTTCTGACAAAAAAGTAAAAAAATTAAAAAAAGTTAAAAAAATTGAAAAGTGGTCAAAACAGTTCGAATGATTAACTAGCTGGTTCAGCGATTTACTGACCAAAATCAATGGTTTTGGGGAAAAACGGAATCGGTCAAGTTACTGGTTCCCAGTTTTTCTGGTCCAACCATCCAATTTGGTCCGATTTTGAAAACCATGATCGTTCCACATCCTGTTCCACAGCTGAAGTGTTCATCTAATCCGTTATCATATTTGTTGAGTTGGATCCCCTAGTTGATCTGTGTCTTTGGAAAGATTCAAAAGATTCAACCCGAATAAGACTCTTGTCAAAATATTGACTAAGACATGAATTGACTAGGGATCTGGTTAGGATCTGAAACCGCACAATGCATGTATGCATCTGTGTCTAAATGGATCCTCCAATAGTCTGACCAGCTAGAGTTGTCCTTAGATATCTAAGTCGTCCAATGCTTTAATATTTGTTTACTTTTCCGATAAAGAATATTCAAGAAGTGGATTGTTTTCACTCTCAAATATAATTGATGTTTTCTAGTATCAAAAAAAAAAAAGAAAAGAAAAGAAAAAATGAGAGTGGTTAACTCCATTTTCAGAAAAAAAGTGCCAAATTCTTCAAACATGTGGCTATTTATCAAAGAAAATACCAACTTCAAAAGACATTAGGCCCATATTAATGTATTTGGTTCAATTTCTTAATTCAAATGCAAGATTTCCAATGATGTTGATCACACTCTTTTAAATAAAGAATTTCAATTAAATATACCATATAAGTAAAATAAATTTCAAATTAATAAAATAGCATATATGTAGTTGTTGCCTATAGTTAGTACTTTAGGCTCAGTTTGGAAGGAGTGCAAATACAATATATATGGTTTTATGCTTACATATTTTGTATATTTGTATTTATACTCTTTCCAAACTGAGCCTTAGTATCTATTATGTGAAAGGTAGAATCTTGACCTCTCTTAAATCCTCCACATTTCAAACAAATATGCAAATGCGCCCCTTTTGTTAATCATATCCTATAAGGGAGACATTGAAGAAATTATGAGAATGCTCTTGTTATGAACTCAATATACCATTTCTATTAATAGGGGAGATTTTAGTCCCAGCCTCAACTTAGTCTTTGTTCACTCAATGAAGGGGTATGTTGACATATTTTTTTGAAACGAAAAGTTTTTGCAAAGATGAAAAATGCAGGGGTGGTTTAAATAAAATTGCTCTAAATTAAATTAAAAAAGAAGATTCTCTGGTAATACTATCACCAGGCATTAAATTGGCGTAGCATTTTTTTAAGTCAAAATGAGAGGCTCCTTTTGGCCAAAAGCTCCCACGTGGCATAGCCAGTTCAAAGATGCCTGGGTCGTTAAAATAATAAAATTGGGTGTTATATACTTGATGTTTCAGTGGCTCTCAAAGATGCTCTTTATTAGCCCCTTTTTCAAGTATTCCTTTCCATGATTTGAACCCAGTCTGTGTGGTTGGTTCTGATACGAATTGTCATATGTTATGATCAATGTGCCCGAAGTTTTGAGGTTGTTAGAAACGTATGAAACCAAATCATTTAGCCTTTAGCACTGCGATCAGGTTTGTTGATGGGCCAGGCCCAGGTGGGCTTGGGCCTGGAACTTGCCTCTCATCGATAGAGACCAGTCCAGACCGTTTGATTTACTGTTTAACAAGGGTCTGTTTGAGAGGGCTGAACTGAAGAATCAGTTAAGTTAGTTCACCTGCTTTGAAGCGCTCCAGGTAAACCACAAAAAGGCTAAAGAACACATCACTTCAAATGACAGACTGACTTCGCTAAACATGGGTGTCAATGTATGGCCCACCTTGGGGGTCTGGGCATTTTTAATCTTGTTTGAATCCTCCGGCCACTTGATGGATGAATTAAGGGCCCGTTTGGCGTGTCTTTCTACATAGTCCTTTGACTATTTACAAGCCATGCAGATCGATTTTCAGTTTATTCCCATTTTTAAAAGACAAAAAAAAATTAYAGGGGAAGGGCAGCCTGCCAAGATACAAAAATTCTCTTCCTGATGAATATCTCCAACCTCAGATAAAACATCAGTAATAAAACACTGCTAAAGGGATGTTAAAGAAATCATCGAGTCTAAGCAGCTGCTCARTTAATGAGATGTTCCCCAATGTGCGGTAGGAACTTTTTGCTTGCAGAGAATCCCATCGCTCTCTCTTCTCCTCCTCCTCCTCCTCTCTCTCTCTCTCTCTCTCTCTCTTCTCTTCTCCTTCTCTCTTCTTCTTCTTCTCCTTCTCTCTCGCTCACTTGTGCTCACGCTCTCTCTCTCTCTCTTCTCCTTCTCTTCTTCGATGTATTCATTTTTTTATCTTGCCTATTCATTTTTGACATAATCATGTTAATTCTGCAGTCACTACTAAAAATAAAAAGCAGTTAACAAAGAGACTGTAATTCGGAGGTTGAATGAAATGGAATTGCCTTCGAGCCTTCTCAAAAAGTTGAAAAACAAAATCATGAAGAAACTATTCAAGGAGGCAATCACATTGACAAACACTACCTTATATTTGGATAATATCAAACCATGTATACTTTGTCTGGCCTGAGCTTTTTTTTGTGTATTTAACACAATACATCAACAACTCACAGAGTAAGTGGTAATAACAGGATTCGAATCCGCATATTCGCTGGAACTACCCAACCAACATACCAACTGGTGCAAGTAATAAGAAAGATTTAAGCACACAAAGTAACTATTTGGAATTCATCCATTTTCTTGAAAAACAGTGCCACATCAACACCAGGTCTGAAATCTGTTTTCTAAGGAAATGCTCACTGTTTGATTAAATGTTTTCCCTGAAAACATTTTTTTCAGAYCATGACATAAAAATCGGGAAAGGTATGATGTGAGAAAACACCCTATTTTTTCTTTTTTTTTTTTACTGTTACTAGCAACAATATTCTGATATGGTGTTGAAAAATACCTGTGACAGCAATGGTTCCAAATAAAAGAAAAATCCGTTTTCTAAGAAAACAGCATACYTATACAGCACCGCATGAGAGAAACAGCACCGATTCCAAACACCACCTAAATAATCACGTAATCGGTTATCGACATCTAAAACGAGTCTGCTCTTTTTCCCGATCTGTTGCCTCAGCAACCCAAAGTTCTTTCGCTGGTGTATGTTTCTTGACTTCTCCCCGCTGCGTTGCAACCACAAGYATTCTATRGCTGTCCTTGCAATAAACCAACAACTACAGATGTTGTTCTCCAATGGAACAAGACTTAGATGATAACGAATCTGTCTTTCATGGGTTCCACCATGTGTATAGGGCAGGGTGTCCCAGAGTTGCGTGAACTTGTTTACTAGCTTTTTCTCATTTGAGTTCAATTTGATTCCTTCTTTAACGTGAGCTAACGTGTCAAGTGGGAGAGAGAGCTTGTGGACAGTTCGGGCTGCCGAAGGTAGACAGCCAAAATGTTGGTTCAGGAATGGGTACTGCATATAATATAATCATCAGTCCAAAAAGAGAGTGTTCCCCTTAGAAAAGGCTTCTTGAAGAATAGATCCTCACACTCAAGAGCCGAGTTGTTAGGACTTCAACTTTCGTTAAGTTGTGTTGACTGAGCCATATTGAACAAGCTACCAAATTTAGCATCAAAGGAAAGTTAATCAATTAGSTTAAGTAAAGTGTATTCCAACTTTTCAGTTGCTTTTTTAACCAAATATAACTTGTAGGTTTTTCATGTGGGGCCCATCATGCAGGATTAGTAGCCACTGCATGAAACCCCTCGTGTAGTGTGCCCCA